ATGGGTCCAGATGATGAAGATGTCATCAATGTAGCGCAAGTAGAGTAGGGGCGTTATTTGTTAATAGGAAAAGGAAACCAGAGAGTTATTTACAAGGTTAAAGCATGTAAACATAGATGCACAAATGACCATCTCAACTTTCACAAGATAATAGATTCATAGAATCATAGGACTGGAAGGGACCTCGCGAGATCATTTAGTCCAGTTACTGCACTTATGGCAAGACCAAGCATTATCTAGACTATCCCTAACAGTGTCTGTCCAACCTGCTCTTTAAAATCTCCAATGATGGAGATTCCACAACCTCCCTAGGCAATTTATTCCAGTGCTTAACCACCCTGACAATTAGAAAGTTTTTCCTAATGTCCAACCTAGACCTCCCTTGCTGCAATTTAAGCCCATTACTTCTTGTCCTATCCTCAGAGGTTAAGGAGAACAATTTTTCTCTCTCCTCCTTGTAACAATCTTTTATGTACCTCAAAATTGTTATCATGTCCCCCCTCAGTCTTCTCTTCTCCAGACTAAAGAAACCCAGTTTTTTCAGGTTTCAGAGTAGCAGCCGTGTTAGTCTGTATCCGCAAAAAGTTTTTTCAGTCTTCCGTCACAGGTCATGTTTTCTAGATCTTTAATCATTTTTGTTGCTACTCTCTGGACTTTCTCCAATTCTTCCACATCATTCCTGAAATGTGGCACCCAGAACTGGACACAATACTCCAGCTGAGGCTTAATCAGTGAGGAGTAGAGCAGAAGAATTACTTCTGGGGTCTTGCTTACAACACTCCTGCTAGAAGCTTCTATCATGAGCAAGCGCTACATGCCCTTCAGGACTCACCCCGGCTGAGCAGATGTGGATCTCTTGCTTATGCCTAGAAACCTGCCCACCCCAGAGTCCGAGCAGCCTAGTGACCATCAGTTCCTTCGTTTGGGGGTTTTATCCCCATCCGTCCTTGTGATCTCAGCTGCAAACTCGGTGATGGGAGGAATCCACTAGCACGACTCATCTTCACAGGGGTGGGGAGGGCAAAACAACAAACATCTTTTGTCCTCTTTAATGTCCCACAATAGTCCGTCTGGTGTCAATGGCCCTTTCCCGTTGGGCAGGACATAACACCTTCTGCAGGAGATCAGCCATTCACACTCACAGAGACTCACCATACAACCGCTCACATATTACCTTACAGTATGGGATAGAGACGCTGTAAGTGAGATGAATGCAGGCAGCAACACACCAGCATTCAATAAAGAATAAACACTAACAGATTCCTATCATTCCGATCCCTGTTTTAACAATACTAACGCCCAGGTGAGCCAGACTGATTCCACGGTGTGTCTGTCACTGTTCCACTGAGACACGGGGACTCTGGATTGCCAGTGTCACACCGACCTGGCTTTGTTCGGGTGTGGGGGGTATAAAGCTCTGACCTGAGCAGGTAGTTGCCACATTGCTCAGTTGCTCTCCTGTTGCTACATTTCGCGCTGGAGCAAGAACTGACCGGCCCCTTCCTGAGGCCGTTGGGCGTTCAGCTGCTGAAGCAACTGCTCCCCTTCTCCTGTTGTTATACGGAATAAACGGCTACCCAGGGAGGTGCCTCTTTGCTGGGTTGAGAGCGTAGCTGTGACAAGCCCTTGGCCCTCTGCTTGCCACTCTGCACACGTTGGAAACGCTGTTACAGTTATGGCCCCCAAAGGTGCTGGGCCCGGCACAGACAGGATTGCTCATCAGCCCAGCATGTGAAATCTGAACTCTGTGTAGGATTCACAGATAACTACAGAGATGTTCGCTCCTGCGGGCCGTCGTGCCCCTCGGCCCCTCCGTTTGCATCCCTTAGTGCCGTGTTTATCCAACCTTCCCTCGCTGGAATCCCTTGGACAGAATTCCTCTCCTAACCCCTAGAGCTGCGCGGGGGCTTGGCCCTGGAGAGCGTGGCTGAAGCTGGAAGTCTCATAGAATATCAGGGTTGGAAGGGACCTCAGGAGGTCATCTAGTCCCGCCCCCTGCTCAAAGCAGGACCAAAGCCCAGACAGACAGATTTTTGCCCCAGATCCCTAAATGGCCCCCTCAAGGATTGAACTCACAGCTCAGGGTTTAGCAGGCCAATGCTCAAACCACTGAGCTAGCTGGACGTTTCTCTTGTGGAAGGACGCCCCTCCCTACGCTAAGCTCGCGGAGAGACTGGGACTGGACAGGGACTGGATGGGGACCCCTAGCTCAAGGGCAGGAGGCCAGAGGTGCCCTGAGCGCAGGCGTGGGGGCAGTTTTCCATCTGATATCTAATCTCACATTAATTAGTGTGAGGGGCTGATCTTCAGCAGAAGGTGTTACACCCTTTCCAAAGGAAAGGTCCATCCAGACCAGACAGACTGTTGGGGGACGTTGGAATGTCCCTACATAGAGTCAACAAGAGGACAAAAGATGTTGGTTGTGCAGCGGACAACTCCCACCAGCTGAGCTTTGCAGCTGCAGGCGTGTGGGCGGGAGAGAATGAAAACCACTAACAAGAAGGACTGATGATCTCTAGTCTGCTTGGGCTCTGGGGTGGGAAACGTGTTTCTAGGCATAAGCAAGAGTCCCCCCCCCCCATGTTTAGCCTGGGTTAGCCCTAAAGGACAGAGAGAAGTGTGTCACAGTTACCTTTTGAAATTGAAGATTGTAACTCATTTGCATATCTATGCTTACCTGCACTAACCTTGCATAATGACAGGTTTCAGAGTAGCAGCCGTAGAAGTGGGCTGTAGTCCACGAAAGCTTATGCTCTAATAAATTTGTTAGTCTCTAAGGTGCCACAAGTACTCCTGTTCTTCTTTTTGCACTAACCTTGTAAATAACTCTCTGGTTTCCTTTTCCTAGTTAATAAATCTTTAGATAGTTTATTATAGGATTGGCTAGAAGCCTTGTCTGTGATGTGAGATGGGAGGTGCGATTCACCTAGGTAAGTGACTGGCCCTTTGGGGCTGGGAGTAAGCTGAATATTGCTGTGATTGGTGGTGTAAGGAACCAGCTATCACAAAGGTACACACACCTGGGCGGCGAGACAGACCGGCGTATCCAAGGGGCCTGGCTGGGACGCCCTGGTTAGGCTGTGAGGGTGCCTGAGGAGTTCACACTTAATAACTGGTTGGTGACACCGAGGTGCAGAACTCACAGCCAGTTTGGGTTTGTGCTCTGGTTCCTAGCAGTGCCCCGAGGCTGGTTCTCACGCTCTGGGGGCA